ATTAAACCCTGAGTAAAAATAAATGCTGTTATTTCTGGTTTCAAAGCTAATTGGTGACCATAATAAGAACAGCTGACAAAAGAATCTCACCTTGAGGTCCATTAGTAGCTGTGCTAGGGCTTTCAGTATGCCACATGATCTTTACCAGCAGCTGGTGTTTGCTCAGTAAAGCAATATATTAATTTTATGACCTTCCAGCTCCAGAACAGCTAGGTTTAAGATGTACACGAGAACTGGACTAAATGGAATATTATTCTTTGTACATTCATTTCAAATTTTGACTGCTCTTGGACACTAACGGCACAATATAAAGTACAAGAACAATATATTCAATATAGTTGCTGCAACACCGAGTATTATCACCAAAACAGTTCAGTGAGAAAGGCAGCACATCAACCTGAACAGGAAACAGCTGAAACAGCAGTAACCTCTGTGCTGCTTGTAGCAGGTTGAAGAGCTCCTATGTGTCACTGCTGTATTGGGTTCTGTTTTGGCACCAGGGCGACTGTTTGCAGTGTGTTAGTTTCCCTGGTCACACCGCTGACCTCTAAATGCTGCCTACAGTTCGGTTAACACACAAACCTGGGCGTGTTAACGTGTTTCCTCAACCCTTCTGCTGTGCAGAACCCTGAGTCAGTGTGAGCTGTTACCCTGACCAACCCATTATTATTTTAAGGTGCTGTATGTAGTATTTTAAAGGTCGGTTTTACTTGTCATGGAACACAAAGTATTTTTTCTTATCCCAGACATGGAGCAACATATCATTAATCATTTGGAGTAATTTTTCTGTTCACTTGACCTTTTGTTTAACCAGAAACAGTTACCATATTGCTCTCGACAAAGCCACCAGACTCCCTTGACAAAAACTGCAATTTTACCTCTCTGGGTACCGCTGTCTCGATTGGTATGTGTGGTTATTGTTTGTCTTTTTTACCCTTTGAAACACCAAAATAACACAAACAAACTGAATCAACAAGTCTCACAATAACCGACTGAGACAGCGGCAGACCAGCAACTCCTGTGTTCTGCAAGAAAAACCTACTGATTTTATCAAGGGTCTGTTGGTTTTGACAAAGGTGACATAGCGACTGTTTCTAGTTAAACAAAAAGCATCTTTTAAAAAAGGGTTTAACTCTGCATAGATCCTTTCCATCATGTTGTCACCTGTAATAACAATCTGAGCCTGTCAGTGGCAAAACAAGCACCTCAGTGGACGTACTCTGATCATTCACACAATACTGGACCAAGTAACATAGAGACAATTTGTTTGTAAAAATATGATCAGCGCAACTTTATGGACCTCTATTATGCTTTTGTCACTGATTTCCACTGTAATGAGGATTTATTTATTCATCACAGCTATTGCTTTCTCAAATAATAGACCTATAATATTTTTGAGCAAAACGCACCATATTCCAACTTAATGTTGTCTTAAAACACAACTTTAAGCTGTGTTCAGGTTCACCAACGTACCTTTTAAAGTGAAAAAGGAATAGGTGCAGTTTCTTGTTGCCATTGGAGGGCAGTGTGTTCCTTCGGACACAAAGGCTGGCTGTTCTTCACTGGAAGTGGAAGCTTTGATGGATGAATCGAAAATGTAATTAAAGCAAATACCTAATCTGTCTGATAGAGACTGTGTGTACAGGACAAACACATTCTTTTACTAAAAGACTTATTTATCCAAGAAAGGCTGACAGAACAGAATCAAAACAGTTTTTGACATTTGGTATAATTTTTTTTAAATATCAAATGTCAAATGAATACAGCTGTCACCTAGGAAAAATAGGAAAATGTCCCATTTTTGTGACGTTTTCTTGAACGGTGCTTCAGGATTAAGGTTCCCAGTACTGACAGTGGTGATAATCAGCACAAGGCTGTTAAGAAACCCATAGACAAATAAGACTTAGGCAATATGACTGATTGATAGATACCAGCCTGCAGTGACACCTGGACTACACTACCAATATCCTTTTTTATTGTTGTACTTTTGGCAATAATGTAGCTGTGTCCCAGGCATCTGTGTGTGAAATGCAAAAGAAAAATGCCTAGTGGGCCCTGGGCTTCGACTCACCCCCGCATAGGCTACATACTTAGTATCCTCTCAACTCTGGCAAAGTCACGCCTCTATATTAGTGCACCAGATTGGCTAAATCATTATTAATCATTAGTCTGCTTGTGTCAATCAGACCAGTTACCATCAAGGTTGTTTAAACCATGAACACAACATCAGTGCGTCAGAATGGCTCTTATTTTCAAGAGCATCAAGAGGGAGGACTGTTACACAAAGTAAATCCAAATGCAGCCTCAGTTTGTGCCTCTCGTATTATCACTCCATTCCAATGTCTGCGTGTTTGACATGAAACAAAATAGAAGCTGTGTTGGTTATATTGCCCATTATTAATCAAACTTTTGGACCACTTGGAAGCAGGCTTCCACAACAAGCTCAACATCAAGTTTGACATGTAACCACCTTGTGACTTTTTTTAAACATGTTATCAAACAGTTGTCTATTTCCACATCCAGCTGACATGAAGAACATCAGCATTTGGAGTCATGTTTCGTCATCTGGTGAACGTACAGTAAGTCCAATATTTACTCTCCTTTTGGCTTTGTTTCGGTCTCCACCAACTGTCCTTTTCTGGCTTTTTAGCTGCTGTGCTCCACAATTTTCACCAGTGGACAGTGGGTTTATCGGAGCTTTTCACAGAAACAGCTGGATGCTGCGTCTGAGGACGATGAGAGCGGTGAGACTGAACTAAAACAGTAAATGTGTTGACTGTAAACCAAACAATGAGCTGAAAGAAGCTAAGGTGCTTTCAAAAAGCTGGAGGGACTGCAGAGTCTCATGATTATACTCTGTGGATCTGAACAGGCCCTATTGCATTAGACATTTGAGGCATTGTCAATATAAAATGTATTGACAAGTGCAGCTATAATGCTTTCAATTATTTTATATTTTCAGACACAATACCACATTTATATATATATTTGTTTACAAATTACAAGGACATAATTCAGTCAATCACTGCCCTATATTTCTTTTACTGGAGTCACAACTTGGAAAACAGAATATATTTTACTGCACAGCAGAAGGAATCATTGAGGAATCTTGAAATACCTTTGAAGCGGCAAGTGTTTTCAAATCGGATTATCTTTCAGCAAACAAATGCTAACAAATGCTTAATTGCGTGACTTGAATGTAATGCTAATACATGAGGCACAAATTGGGGCTGACCACATTTAGCCATCTTTATGAGGAGTCGTAATCAAACAAGACTATGAGTCCGCTGCATCCTCGTGGCTCTGTGAGGCTGCACTGACAATGCTAATGTCTGCACGTTAACATGCTCACAATGACAACACTGATATGTTTCAAAGTTAAAATGTTAACCATGTTCACCATCTTGCTAATATTTGCTATTTAGCATCAAAACGTAAAGTACAGCTGAGTGTTACAGATATCTGGGCAAAAACAGAAGAATTGGACGATTTGGGCAAAAGATGGCGCAGGAGAAAAAGTCAAAAGGATCACCAAAGTTAATACAGTTCATCCTGCAGAGGAGATTAATGTCAGTTTATCTGGTGGACAAACAAACTGACATTTCCATCTCTAGCACAGCCACATGGCTCGTGTGGCTAAAAAAAAGGTGTTTAGAACCTAATACAATTTCTGTTAAAATCATTTTCACAAGATCCAATCGAAGCTAACAAAGGTTAAAAATACATATTTCCTGAGACTTCAAAGATATTTTGTTTTGTGATTACAGCGTAGCTACTTTGCATAAATGCAAAGGCCAGGATGCAAACACAAAGTGTACTGTGTCGCTGTGGTGGTAAAGGTGTACGTTATTATGTACAGTTAATTAAAGCAACTGTCACAAACAGTTCGGAAATAAACAGCATAAAAGAGGCAGGTTTTGGAGTAATGACTGCACATCAATGCAGCGCTGACTTTATTCTCAAACACATTATTAGAATCTAAAAATAAGAAAACCTTCATGGTTGTTGTTGCCCAGAGTCCTTTCATCTGCCAAAAAACACATTAATACAAAGAGATACAGGGCGAGAGAGATGTGTCTCTCATCATCATCATCATTAACACTAAAACAAAACTTGATTTGATTTACAAAAAAACAACATTAAAACACAGCCAACCCAGCAACAGTTATAGTTTCTTAAATAGCCTCTGAGCACAGAGAAATCGAGATGACAAAAGAGACCATGCAGCCCGACCAGCCACTCTGCCTTCTCATTAACACTTCACACACTCTCTCACACACACACACACACAGTTTGGATCCAAATCAATATTATCAACAGACATATGCCAGGAGGAGGAGCTGTCATCTTACAAAGGACTATTTCTGTTTCCTTTTTTTTTTTTTTTTCAACAAAGAATTGTTTGACATTTCATTATTTCAAGGACTAAAATACATTGAATTTCTACCCTGCAGATCTGAGCTTTCCTGACAGAGAACAATGAAAGTTCTTTAATCGTACACAATTATTTAGTCAACGCCTGGTTAAGAAGGCAACAAACAGCCTCAGGTGCTTTTTCCGCCTTTTTCTCGTATTTGTTTTTAGCTGAATAAAGCTGTCACTCTGTTCAGAACCACGATCTCTACAGACAGCAATCGGGACTTGGGTCCACACTGCATCAAATCAAAGGCTTATATTCATTTAATTAAAGAACCAGCAGGGAAATTTTGTGTAGTATTTGGTTTTAAACCCTTCGTTTGTCTGCCGAGTTCTCTTCACTTTGGCCGTAGAAAGATACAGCAACTACAAGGTCAAAAATAATAATAATAATTTGGCTTTTTAAATCAACAGCTCAAACAATTATGTTACAGCAATTTACACTTGCTCTTCAGAGCCTTTTGGAACTGACAGTAAACACCATCATTATACAAAATGAGGAATCAGATATGATCTTTTTAGAGAGAATGTCCCATTCTGAGGGAGTCTGGAGTATATACACCTACAGTATCATTAATGGTTCACAGCACAGGACCTGCCCTACCTCTCCTCACTGGTATACACATTTCCAATTCAAATCATAGCATGTCACATATGCAGTAGAAAAAATACAGCCAATAACAGATGTCAGACCAGCCAAGGGACATGCAGGAGCTGGAAGGAAGTATTTCTTCTTCCTGGTCTTAACACTGCCCCCGTAGTAATAATACACAGAAATGCCTCATTATTCTACTGCTTGGGCTTTAGTTTGAAGCGCTGAACTCAAGTTTGGTTCAAGTGTAGGTGGTCCTCTGTGGGTTGAGGTTGGACTAGACTGGCCTGGGTTCATGTGGAGACGAGGCTGGAGGTTTCATGGTGTGGCAGTAGAAGGGCTTGGTTGACGTTTGGTGTCACTTTGTCCTGAGATTAGCTCAGATAGAGATGTTTGTCTCTCTGAAGACCTCTTCAGGAGGAGAGGAGAAAGAAAAAGTTAGGATAAAGAGGGAGCAGTTACAGCTGTAGCAGCTTACAGAGTACTGTAGACTGTCTCAGAATATTATTTCACTAATTCTAATAACACATTCTGAGCCAGAAAGGGCAATCTGGGTGAAAATTTGTTTTTATGCAACAGCCATTTTACCCCGTAAGACTTTCTTGCTTTGTTAAGGGAAAAAGACATCAGATAAAATGCTGATGAGCCAATTTAAACAAGACCCTAGTAACTTTTATGTTTGTTTGTTTATCATTAGTAATATCGTGGCATCAGAGGCTGTTCTACATGGACAAAATGTTACTTAAGAGCAGGCTGAAAAGTGTTTTTCTACCCTCTCTGGTTGACAGTTTCACCCAGCGTCACTGATGGATGTGGTTGAACCTGTAACCACACCGAACAGTGATGTCACAGTCTTCCTGCCGTACACCTGTACAAGAAAGAGTTGAACCCCAACACCTACCCGTTGCCATGATAATCAGTGCTCCAGTCCAGAGAGGGGTGGTGGTTCGGTGTGTGTCGACCCAGCTGGTGGTAGTCCACTGATGATGAGATCACTGCTCCACCATTAAGCATGCCTCCTCCCATTGGCTGGTAGTCAGACTGGAGTGGGGAGTGATAGCCCTGGAATTGAAATGTAAAAGTTAGTGTCTTATTTAAAGTCTTGTTAAAAAATTATTTATTTTAATTTATTGTGTATGCAGCTGATCACACGCTGAAAAGGAAAACATTCAACAAAGACGATGACTGGTCAGTAATACAGATGTGTACTCTGCTAACATGAGCTGTGGAAATCCAAACTGATAATATTGTAGTTGCTGTGACACAGTTTATTGAGATCAAAACAGATGAGTAATGCTACTGCAGTAGAAAGATGCGTTTATCCTTTCAATATCTGTGACGCTCGAAGCAAAGTTTGTCATTTTTCCTTTCAGTGTTTTTTTTTTTCCAAAGTTGAGGTTGGAATATTTTGGAGCAGCTGATTTGCAGGTAAAGGAAACCTAGACGTCTGTTAAACTCTTTGGTTTAGACCTGTGGCTTTCAAACCACTGAAAAAAGCAAATGTCAGTTATTGTAGATTTTTCCCGTCAGCAGCACAGCTCATTGGGGGCAGTTAAGGTATTTTTAAACACTTCACATCACACTCCATCTCATAGTCATAACTCAGTCAAGTCCGAACACAGACATGATAGACATGTTTCCCGAGTATACCGCTATACCTCTGATGTCCATCGCAAATAAACGTCCATAAATCCATGAAGAAATCATAGGAAGATAACATTTATTCATTTAGCTTGTTGCAAAAGGGACTTACAATTGCTATACGTGTCAGAGGTCGCAAACCTCTGGAGCAACTAGGGTTAAGTGTCTTGCTCAGGGACACATTGGTGGATGTGTCACAGTGGGGAACTGAACTCCTCTCACACCAAAGTCATGTGTCTTATCCACCACCCCAAGATGCTCCCAATAACTCCAGAACTTGCCTGAGAAATACGTTTTCTTCACTATCAACAGAATCCAGTGATAGTTGTTTGTACATCCACGGGTACACCGCAAACTGGAGCTGCTAATAGCTAAATATGTGTACTTTTAATTTGCCAAACGTAAGCAGTGTTAGACTTTAGGGCAGCTGTGGGTCGGGAGGTATCCGAAGATCGGTGGCTCCCGATGGCCGTGTCGTCGGTGTGTGAATGATTAGTTTCGCAGTAATGGTGGCTTGTTTACATCCTCCTTAAACCTGAATGAGTCCATAGAAAGCTCATGTTTTAACACACCAACCTTTAGCACTGCCTTGGTAAATGGTTTCTGATTAGCAGGGACGTGAATGAATGCAAGTGAAAAGGAAAAGGAGACAGAGATCCGTCACAGGTTCATCAGCAGTAATTACAGAGTTTTGAGTGTCTTGCGGATTTTATCATCTGCCGGGGGGAGGGGGGGGGGCTGACGAAGGTAAGAGGAGAGGAGGAAAAGGACGATGAGGAGAAGAAAAGGAGGTGAGCATACCTCTAACCGCAAGATACTTAAGGGAGGAGAGAGAGATGGAAAACTAAGCGATTGCAGTGAGAAAGTGCAGGAAAGTGTGTGTGTGTGAGAGAGGCTGAAAGGGAAGTTAATCTGAGTGTTGAGAGTGAAAGAGGAGGACAGCAGGTGGTTGGGTTCTCCCCCCTCTCCTCCTCCTCTACCTCACCTATTCATCCATTGTTGAGCAAATTCTTCTCCTTCACTCCTTCACAAAGACCCCATCTGCCTCTTTTGTCTCTCTCTCCTTCTCCCTTCCCCCATCACTTCTCACTCTTCACTCAAAGAATAAAAAAAGTTTTGAGCTCTGTCACTGTGTCCTCTCTTATTTTTTTTTTCCTCCCTTCAGTTTTCCTTTTTATTTTGTTTGCGCTTTCTCAAAATATGCAAAATGGAGGAGTGAGAAAGGGGGATTATGTGAGTGTGGGATTTAACAGGGCACTATTAAAAAGGGGGATAAAAATGGGAAGTGAGACTCAGTGGCAAAGTGCCCCCCATGTTTAACTAGTTGGAGGAGACACTGCACTATCACATGTCTCCAATTCACCTATTCACCAATTCACACAGCCACTCGTCTTCCTCTTCCTCCTGTCTGGACAGACTATCAGCTGACCAACTGACAGTGAGAAACAAAGACGCAGCGGGGATAACTGACTGACTGACACTATTATATAAGTAGAAAGGGACAGACAGACGTAGAGAACACAAATTTTAATTTCTATGATTAATAGTTAAAATGGGGAGGGGGTCCGGGGCCCGAGAGGGTCCGGTAAAGTAAATTACATGTGTCCGTTTACTTTTAATGGACACATGTAATGTTTTATACTTTCTGTGAATATAATTCAATTAATCTTATTTCCATCCTATACAGACGCCTTATTTTGAAAACCGGACGCTGTCACATGTGTTTCCTCCTCGCGCTAAATTCATTAAGTCCGACCCAGTTTGATAAATAATGTTGTATGTGGTTCTGGTAACATTAAAACTTCACAGCCCCTCTTCAGGTAGGACTCTCAAACTGCAACACTTGTTGAGACAAACTGACAGAATAAAGTCTCTAACCTGCCTGTCAACTCGCTCTGGTCCGTTTCAGTGGATTTACCATAAAAGCTTGAATACGTGCCACACTGTAGGTGTGGCTAGATTAATCACCTTCTCAGAGACGAGTGACAGAAACACTCAAAGTGGGTCAGACCGTTTGTTGACTTTTCTCAGAAGTCAGCCACAGATGGAGTCAAAAAGACATTTTTGCGTCTTTCTCAGACACTTTAAAATCCTTCCACACTGCCGACATGTCACCGTAATTGTTCCATACAATTTCTTTGGTCTTTTGATTTGTTAGGCCGAAAGTGCTCTCTTTGCTATTTTCGTCCGATTAATTTCGGTGGCCGAACATTCGGTGCATCCCTAATGATTAAAATGGATTTTCCATAAAAGGATACCAAAGATTGGCTATTACCAACAATCTACTGATTGTCTCCTTGTTAAAAAAAGTATATTAATATATTCTAACCTTCTGTTATTTCCCACACATATTGATTGTTATGTAAATGATTGTAAACAGGAACACCTACAGGTAAATGTTTGTCTTTATTGGAATCACAGCACAAATAAAACTTCATTATTGTAAAACAAAACTTTAAAAGTGCTGAAGTTTTAAGTGCTGGACAAACTGAAAATTAAAAAACTCTGTAACTACACGCAAGAACTGTGACTGGTCGGCTTGGTAGCATTGCATTTCCTCCAAGCCCCGAGGAAGTGCTCCGTGCTTTGAATCCAGTTTTACAAGGGATTAGTCCTTTAGTGGACGCTTTTCTTAGTGGATATCGTGATGGGAATTGAACCCAAGGCTCACACATCAAAAGGCATGTGTCTTATGCACTGCACCATCGCCACCCACAAACAAGCAGCTGTGAAACGGTTGATACTTTCTTTTTATATTTATAAATAAAAGAAAACCCCCTCGAAATGACTCATTTCTCTATCAGAATTTGTTCCATTCAGTCGATAACATTTTGAAAGTCTAGAATAGCCACACAAAAATTATTTTACCCCCATTCTAGTTAGCTGAGAGCTAAACCGGAAGTTAGCCGGTTCACCGGCAGAAGTCAACACAGTGGAACCTAGAAACCCCACCGTAAACTGCAGAGCGACACAGACACCAACGCACAAGTATAAATGCGAGGGTACGTGCGTTGCCAACGCCCTAGGTCTCGGTGTAGAATCCCTGCAGGAGTATAAATGCAGAACCTCTTCTATGCTTTTGATTGGCTCTCAAAATTGTCCTGCGAAATGTTTGGTGCACCAGTGCGACCAGGAAATTATTTTTTGTCTCACTCGACAGACCAAGTTGGTCCCACTCTGGAGCCCTGCACCAGTCTGTATGTTCAAACATCCATCTCTACAGGCAGACATTAAAAAACAGAGGCCAACTAATTGTGATTCATGCATTCAATTAGGATAGGCTGGATGTATTTAAGTCTATTCAGTACTGCTGTCCACAAGGAAATACGGATCTATTATGCACCCCCGTTCATTCTGGCACCCATCTCATTTCCCCTGTTTGTATGTGCGTGTGTTTTGTTTCCTCTGCTGATATATTCGTCTGTCTCCATCCACCTCTGTGCAGACTTTAAATCTGCAAGATGCTGTTGGCTTGAGTAAATGTGTGTGTCTAAGAAATGGTTTGATGACTCAAGGAGCAGAGCACCAATAGACCACTACTAAGGAAACAATACCTGTGTCCCAATTCCAAACTAAACTAAAATGTTCACCCTGGAGGAGTGACAACAGTATTACATACAAAAAGATGTTTTTTTTTTTTTTTTGTTAGCTGTTGATGGATACTATTGTCAAACAATGCAATGCAGAAAGGAAACGCCCGTGCCACTGCAAAAAATGAAAATAGTAAACAGTGAATGGTGGTGAGACGGCTACAGAACGATCTTGGAAAACAAAAGTAATGTATTAAAACTCTCAAACATTTTGTTGTCTCTCTGATTGACATCCAATGGCACATTGCATCTTTTTCTCTTATATGTATAAAGCAGTATGTGGTTTGTGGATTAGATAGAGATTATTTTTGCGCTACTGATATATATCACAATATGTATCATTTATAAAACTGTCCAATTGATGCATCCCGCTGTTAAAATGTTCAAATGTATAAAACAAACCACTAATAGCTAATGTTAACTCTTTAATTACACTTTGCTTGGAATCACTCTTTTGGAGAAAAGAATAATGTAAAATCATCACAATTTATCTGTGCTGAAAGTCAGTGAATAGTAGTAGTTAATTATCGCTTAAAGAGAAACGTGTCTGTTAAAAACACAAACACATTTTCTTCAGTTATTTGCTTGTTATTGCCACTGAGTCAGTCTCAGAGTAATGTCTCCTTCAGGTTTTTTATGATCCCGTGCCCTTTTATTTTTATTACCCTGTGTTTTATACCATTACTTTGCCTGAATAAATAGGAGGGTTTTTTTATTGATTTTCTACTTGCTCTGCCTGAAAAACATTTATTTTTGCTTCTTTTTTTTCTTAAAACGCCAGGAGGAAAAACAAAATTTGTGAATAATCCAAGTTTTATCCAAATCTCAGAAGTTATATTTAAACGATAAGGTATTCTACATGTATTGTATTTATATTGTCAACAAATCCCATAAGAAAACCGACAATGTAATGAGTTGTTTGTGTATCTCAGTCTGATATCTCTTCTTCCTCTGAGCCATTGAGCTCCACTGTTGTCCAAAAACCATTAAAACCCAGCCTCACTGTTGCACTGGGTGACATGTTCCTTTCCATTAACATGAACACACACACTGTAGTTTATTCTGACGCCCACACACACCGTCCTGCTGCCCCAAATACTCACTAGAGCACCAAATGTGGATTAATCCGTCGCTGAAAATAGACCCTAACGAACGCTCTTTTTCCTCCTGTTTGAGTAACGTTTCAAGGGTAGCTTCAGTATTTTTCAATCTGGACTGTATTTTCCCATGTTTTTGTGTCTATGTGACTACACATTTTTGAAATTGGTCCATTATTAAGTGAGCACACTGCAATTTTTGTTTTTGTCAATGGAGTCTACATGATACAATATGTATCATTTATAAAACTGTCCAATTGATGCATCCCGCTGTTAAAATGTTCAAATGTATAAAACAAACCACTAATAGCTAATGTTAACTCTTTAATTACACTTTGCTTGGAATCACTCTTTTGGAGAAAAGAATAATGTAAAATCATCACAATTTATCTGTGCTGAAAGTCAGTGAATAGTAGTAGTTAATTATCGCTTAAAGAGAAACGTGTCTGTTAAAAACACAAACACATTTTCTTCAGTTATTTGCTTGTTATTGCCACTGAGTCAGTCTCAGAGTAATGTCTCCTTCAGGTTTTTTATGATCCCGTGCCCTTTTATTTTATTACCCTGTGTTTTATACCATTACTTTGCCTGAATAAATAGGAGGGTTTTTTTATTGATTTTCTACTTGCTCTGCCTGAAAAACATTTATTTTTGCTTCTTTTTTTTCTTAAAACGCCAGGAGGAAAAACAAAAATTTGTGAATAATCCAAGTTTTATCCAAATCTCAGAAGTTATATTTAAACGATAAGGTATTCTACATGTATTGTATTTATATTGTCAACAAATCCCATAAGAAAACCGACAATGTAATGAGTTGTTTGTGTATCTCAGTCTGATATCTCTTCTTCCTCTGAGCCATTGAGCTCCACTGTTGTCCAAAAACCATTAAAACCCAGCCTCACTGTTGCACTGGGTGACATGTTCCTTTCCATTAACATGAACACACACACTGTAGTTTATTCTGACGCCCACACACACCGTCCTGCTGCCCCAAATACTCACTAGAGCACCAAATGTGGATTAATCCGTCGCTGAAAATAGACCCTAACGAACGCTCTTTTTCCTCCTGTTTGAGTAACGTTTCAAGGGTAGCTTCAGTATTTTTCAATCTGGACTGTATTTTCCCATGTTTTTGTGTCTATGTGACTACACATTTTTGAAATTGGTCCATTATTAAGTGAGCACACTGCAATTTTTGTTTTTGTCAATGGAGTCTAGGGGCTTTGACAAAAGCAATACAGCGACTGTTTCCATTTAAAAAAAGGTCCATCTATGTAGGGATCCTTTCCATAATGTTGTCAGGCACTTATAATAACAATCTGAGCATGTCAGTGGCAGAAAAAGCACTTAAGCAGAAGTACTTTAACGGGGCGCAATTGCCTGCAAGGATTACGTTACAGCCCCGTTTCACTGCTGCCGACTTAAATTTAAAAATGTTTTTGTCCCATTTAGTCACATAGACACAAAAGCATGGGGAAATATGGTTCAGAATTAAAAGTACAGAACTTAGCCTTAAATAAAGTTTAATGGACAAGATAGGTAAGTACTTAGAGACATCGGTGTTTATCCTTCATGTCTACTATACTGTCAATGAACAAACAATAAGAGATACAAAGTACCAAACCACAAAATGTTAAGTTATAACATTTACACTTAGTGTGTGACTGACCTGTGTGATGGCAGGCGAGTGAGTCATTCCCAGTGAGTGTCCACTGAGCTGCTGGTGCTGATGGTGTGGACTGTGCATCCCCCCCAGGTGTGCCTGGCTGTGGAGGGGAGGGCTGACCTGGAGAGGAGGGGTGGACGCCGCCGCCATGTTGCCAAGGGACAGAGCTCCCTGGTGCGGGACGCTGGGCCGCGGCACAGTCCCTCTGGAGGACAGAGCCTGGAGCTGGGGGTGCATCTGGTTGTGAGGAGGGCGGAGGTTGTGGCCGAGGCCGGGGCTTGAGGCGTGGGAAGGGTGCTGAGGGTGAGAGTACTGCATGTACATGCCTGGGTGCTGAGGGTGAGAGTGAGGGTGAGGCTGATGGTGAGGGTGAGTGTGGGCGAGTGAGCTGGAAGGGTGCTGGCCTGGGTAGACTGAAGGTTTGGGTGTAAACATTGAGGTAGAAGAAGAAGTCGTGGAGGAAGAGTGGGGCGGCTTCATTTCAGACGGATCATTGTAACTCTGGAGAACAAGAAAAAGTAGAACAGAAAATCAGTTTGCAGGTTTGAGATTGACCCATTTACATCAGCTAAATGTCATTAACTTGTGTGTGTGTGCGTGCAGTACCTGAGAGACCAGACTGGCTCTGTAGGCAGCCAGTTGTTTCAGATACTCCTTCTTAGCCGTCTCTGTCCTCTTCTTGTACACCTGAAACGCAAACCTTTTACTTCTCTGCTAACCACCTACCAACTATCAACTTTGCTTTTGTTTTGTTTGCTTATTTACAGTTTACAGCATTAAAAAAAAAAACGAGTAACTGTTTTTATAAACGTGTAAAATCTTGTGTGAATAATCAACACTGTGCCGTGACACACTAACAACGTCTGACATGTACTCAGGTATAACCATCATGAGTTTCACAGTATTTCCCTCAGCTGACACAGTTGTCTAATAACACATAACCACGATAATGAATTCCCCCAGCAGCTCCTTCAAAGATTCTCTGAATCTGAACTTTGTGAAATGCGGGCGACATCCACTTGCACCAATTTTGTGAGCTCAGTAATGATTGGTGGTCTCAGCGGTATTGTTAGAGCTCAAGTTTGCCTGCAAAACGCTTGATTCCTGTCACAAAGACAATTTAGCTACTTGCCATCTCTCTCGCTCTTCTTTTATGGTTTCACTGAAGGGGGACGGACATGTTTTTTCTTCTAACTGGGTTTTCTTTTCTTGCATCAGCTGCCAAAATTCATAAACAAGACTAAGAGTTTATGTACAGCCATTCTAGCTTCTCTGTGAGGCTGTACTAAGGTACAGGGTGCAATTTTCACCAATCCAATTCAGCTTTATTGGTATGAACAGCAATATTGCCAAAGCAACAAATAAATTAGAAAAAGAATAATTAATTTCATACAGTTCATTAAATAAAGTAAATAAAACTGTAAAAGTGTGTGTTAGTGTGTGTTAAAAAATAAATATATATATATATACATATTAAAGATAAAATAAATAAAATAGTAAACGTGTGTGTGAGTGTGTATATTAATAGACAAAAAAATTAAAAATAATAATAATAAATAAAAAACAACTGCTAAAAAAAAATCTGTATCAAATGTGAAATAAAAAAAAAACAAATAAAGGAACAATTACTAAAATAAACAATGAAAACAATAATTTGAAAATATATTACAATTATTTCATATATTTATCAGTCCAGTCTGAGTTTCCACTGGCTGATATACGTTGCTGCAATGATTTGGATTTCTGGCATTTCTCCTAGTAAATCGGGGAGTTTCCGTGTGTCTGATATAAATTTTAATTCGGGGTATATTTGGGAAGTGTTTGCAAAGTTTTTTTCTCTTAAGGTTTTATATATTAGGGCACGAGGTGAGAAAGTGCAGCCGTCTTAGTTTAGCGTCTTAGTTTCTTAACATTTGCTACTGAACACAAAGCACATCTGAGGATATATATGAACAGTTTTAGGCATTTGTTCATAAACCATGCTAAATGCTAAATGAAATTACAAAGGATAATCAGGGATTATAGTGCTGCTAAATTAAAGAGGGAGGATCTACCTGTTTCTGTTCCTCTCCCAGGCCGTCCCACATGGAGGCCACGATCTTTGACACCTCCCCGAAGGTGGCGTTGGGGTTCTGGGCCTTGATGTTGGCTTGGGTGTCCCTGAAGAACAAGGCGTAGGCAGACACCGGCTTCACTGGCTCATTGGGGTCCTTTCGCTTCTTCTTCTTTGGTGTTTTGGGTTTCTTGGAGATGTCCACTGACGCTGGCCTCTTCTCTCCTCCACTGCCCAGCTAAGAAGAGAAGAAAGTGGCTGAGTACGACACAGGTAGGTATGAAATATATATAGTCATGGACAGAGTTTAGTTCGGTGGAAAAAGCAAAAATGCATAAAAAACTAAAATAGCAGTAAGAATTTGACATGTTTGGTAGAGCTTAAGTGCTGTGTAATAAATTGTCTATATCAATTATTTTATGACTCATTTTCCCCTTCTGTTATTGCTAACCTGGCATTTTACAGATTCGCACCTCCAGTTGTGTCTTTGATGACTCTCACATGACAGACATGTGACCTCAACCGTTCTTGTTTGATGTCAAGATATGAATCAGCCACAGAGCTCAAATATGGGGAAACTCCCGGCAGTCCCCTGCAGAACTGATGAAGCTAAACCACTCTTTTAGTCCACGCACAGCAGTTCAGCTGACCAAGCAGAAATGTGAAATTTGTCGAGCAAAAGATTCGATAAATACGAAGAATAAAGTTTCCAATGATATTAATGTATGATGAATACATTTTGTAAATAACTACTTCTTTAGACCTCAACACAAATAACTAAACTTAAACAGAGAAAGTTTAAAGGTCAGAGACGTTTGTACTAGTTATAACTGATTGATCTGTGCATATCTGTTTTGTGAAATGGATGATGGGAAAATGAATCCTGTGTGTCTTTGACTTACTACAACAACATATCCATGTCCTGTGACATTCACATTCTTCTTATATTCACTCACAGGGATAATGTGCCTCTAATATACATATGTTTAATAGCTATGTGATGCATGTTACTAACTATTAAAATAAAAATTAAAGTATTAAAGTTGCATTATTAATGATGCAGAATCAATTCTTGTTTATTTTATTGTTTGACTACTTTTACTTTTATAATCTTTTATCTACTGCCTTGTGTCCACTGTCTATTGTTTGTATTTGTTTTTAAATGCGAGGATGACTTGTCCACTGCAACACAAATGTACATACGGGTACAAATAATGTAACCTGAACCTGAACTATGGCTCAGTTTGGTATCAAAGCATAAAAATAACATCCTAGCTTCAAAGGCATTCTGTATTTCTTGACTCTTCACAACATGATTTCAAGGTCAAAGCAGTAGGAGTTCACAGCTAAAGAAATGCAACAAAGTGCGCCAGAGGCTTCACTTGTTGTTGCTAATTATGATGACAGGCACTGAGACGTGAATGGTAATATCTCTGCTCCACTTGCCCACCAAGAGCAACGTGGAGTTAAATTGTGGACTACTAGACTTTTTTGGGATTTTATTGCTGATATCAGCGACAACAGGAGCTTTAAACAAAAAAATATCTGAAGAAATCAAAAATGACAAGAGGAACAATACGGCAGTTGACTGATGGATGTTTCTGTAACCAAACAATAATAATAAAGCCCCTGAAAAAGTTTTTCTCTGTAACATTCAATATTCATTTCAAAATCACTCAAAACTTCAGCTAATCTGCTTCATCGGGACTGCGTGGATGTGGTTTGATCAGATTTGATCGACAGGAGCCTGGTAACGTGAGCAAAACGCCTCAACTGTCAACACATTTTGACTGAAATGTTGCGAAATTCAGATTTTTTTCTAACAAGCACCTCCCACTTCAAACCAGTAAGAGTAACACTGACAAATACAGAAATCTCTCATGTGAAATAACCAAAACTGTTAACTAACTTTGTCAGACAACGGTGTGTTCATGTAGGATCCCATCACTTACTGGGAGAAGCTGATGAAAATATGGTTTCTGGGCCCCAACTTTTCTTTCAAATCTTAATTAAAAACTCACAGCTCTTTTAGATGTTTGATTTATATATTTTTCTTCTTCACTTTTATTTCCTTTTATTAAATTTGTGGCAACTTATTACTGCACTGTGACTGTATCTGCACTCAATCACCTTTGCCTATTTGTATTTTATTATAATCTTCAATTTAATTTAATTTTCCTTTACATCACATAGTTTATCTTGTGTTTAAGTGTTCTGTAAATATATAAGCAATTAATTTTTTCTTCCTAAAGCGAGCATTGCCTGTGTATTTGCTCATAATGTTGCTCATATACAACTCATACTTACACACCTAACCAACGAGAAAGATACAGTTGGTAAATATTATTCAGCGGTACAGTAATGGTTTCATTTCCCCAGAATATGAACAGTCAGTTTGGTGCAGAGTGCTTGTTTCAGTGTGAGACACCTAACAGTGAAGGGAGCTGATTTCCATCTAGTTGATATGCAGGGAGAATGGGTCTATTATGACACATAACATTAACATAACAACTATCCACTGTCTACACACACACACACACAGCAGAACACAAATGGTTGCTACAGCTCAAAGAGATGTGACTCAGAAACACATAACAACAGGAAATACAGTGTGTGTTTGTGTGTGTGTGTGTGTGTGTGTTTATTACCCTGAGTCCGTCATCATTCTCATCCTCATGTGCTGAACTGGAGGGAGATGGTGTGGCGGATTTACTTCCAGGAGGTGAAGGGGAACTATGGGTAACAGAGTTCCCACTCAGCCCCAGCTGGGATTGGTTAATGGTGGACAGCTGACTCTGCTGGCTCATGCCTGATTGGCTCCTGGGTCCGAGCGCTGCCTCGATTGGCTGCTGGCTGCTGGTAAACCGAGAATCAGAGTTCACCATCTGCTGCATCTGTGCAAAGACAAGTGACAATGACTGATGAAGGCAAATATCATTTACATTTACTCAGTACTTTTGAGGAACAACATACAAGCATCAGTAAAGAATCAATCCAGTAAGAGATCTACAAGTGACAATAGACACTAGTAAGAGCATATACAGCATCAGTGGGGAAACAGGTACTTCTCAAATTGATCTGAAAGATCCACATTCCCATTAAAACAACCACATCCAAACACTTAAGAGCTGAAATCAACTTAAGCGTCTTTATTCAACACTCTTTTTCCACGCTCACCATCGCAGTCGTTAATGGGAACAACACATTTTTAATTAGCATTTGAAGCAAGACGTTTTACATCCAATCAAATTAAGGATGGAAATCAGACAATGCAAAAAAAGTTTATTAAGTTTTGGTCCTGACTGGTCTTTAGATAAAATCCAGAGTCCTCAATGTCCGAGACCGAGACAAGACCATAAAAAAGTGGTCTTAAGACCGGTCTCGGAAACTACAACACTACTTGATGGGTATGTCTTTTGCAACACCTACAGAATATTCCAGCCTGCAAATAGGTTTTATTTACATCAGTATAACAATGTCCTCATTAAAAATTATGCCAATTGTGCCAAAAGTCAACTTTCCATTATTCGACCTGAAGGTTTCATAACATTCAGGAAAAAAAGCTGTTTTGTGTGATAACATTTTTGGCCATATCGCACATCCCTAACATCTGTTGTTATTGGCATGGCGTCCGCTTGTTTGACAGCCATAACCAAGCACTGTAAAGTCCTGCACCTGTAAGATCATAATTTTCAGCAATGTAAATCTTATTTAAAGCCACTGTGCGTACAATATTCACCTCAATATCTTTGTCAAACTGGCTTCGATAGAATTATACAGCGGCTGTAAACCAGTGAGAACATCACGGTGTAACGTTGCTTCCAACTTGCTGCTCTCTATGAGCATTGTTTTAATGATGCTTAAAGTTTAAAGCTGTTTTTGACAAAAAGGAGAATGTTTCGCAGTTGTTGTGTCCTTCTTTTTCACGGGGCCCCTCTGTCCCCCTCTGTGTAGCATAGTTCAGCATTGCCAAAATGTGAGCAGTCTCACAGTGACTCAGTCATCATTATTGTTCTGGCTATTTCTCAGGAAAACAAAAGTTAGCATTGCCAACACCCTCAGCATGGGAACTTTGACACGTATCGTCACAAATATGAAGACAGGACTCGGGTGATGATGTGTATTTAGAGTTTCCTCTTAGTAATCATCGAATAATGGCGGATGTGGTCTGGTGCGCTCTGTCCCCTTTGGGAACGCATTACCTGAACTCAATTACCGGCAGCAGCCTCTGAATACAGCTGTGGTATTTAGATGGAACGCAGAGTGACATTTCTCTCACATGGGAAGAGGTTTTCAGATTGACGTATGTGTTGGTGGAAATGCTGAAAAATAATAGCTGTGGTTTTAGGCATTGGTTAGGCTGGGAGTTCAATAAATGTCATATTATCTAACAGTTAAACTGACTTATTTGACAGCTCACCTGACGTACATAAAATTGTTTCAACAGGAATAGTTTGAAGACCTGAGGACCAAGCTGAGAATTATTAAGTAAAAAACAATACATGGATTTAAATAAAATGGAAAAATATTTTGTTTTTGGAAATGTATTATTTTATTTTATTTAGTTATATTATTACTATGGCTGTATGTATTACAGATTATAATACATAATGATATATATATTTATAGTATATTTACATATAATAATATACAGCCATAACATTATGACCACTGACAGGCAAAGCGAAGTTGTGGTTAGAAGCAGGAAAAATGGGAAACGAACGGATTTAAATGACTTTGACAAGAGCTGAATTTTGATGACTAGACGAATGGGTCAGAACATCTCGGTCTGCAGTGGTCAATGAAGGAAAAGCTGTGAACCGACGACAGAGCTCACAGGGCTATTTTGGCAGCAAAAGGGAGACCAGCAGGTGGTCATAATGTTATGGCTGATAGGTGTATAACAATAAACTTGGGACTTAAGGCTGCTCCCGGCTAATGTGTGGTCTGGAAGAAATGGCACTCAGGTCGGCCATGCAACGGGAAATCAGAGACTGTTGTGCCCACATCATTACAGAGATCTCCTCCATCATCTTGGATCAAGCACTCAACAGGTGGACCGTGTTCTGAGACCGACAGAGCCTCCGGACACTGTGTTTATATACAAGTTGACAATGTTTCCTAGATGTCAGAGTTATCATGTGTGGATGAAAACCATATTATCATCACTGTCTTGTTGCTGCTGTTTACATTCTTCCAGACGCAAATTTAAGAAATGCACTGCAGAATTATTTCCTGGTTGTACATGTATATAAATAACTGTATATTGTTTTATATGTTACTGTATAGCTTGAAGGGACTACAAACCTGTGTTGTATAATGATAAACAAACTTCTTAGATACTTGATTAAAACTGCCTGGATCAGGGTGACAGAGTGATCCTCTGAATAAAAAAAAATGTTTACTGAACAAAATTTAAATGCACCAAAGGAAAATGCAGAGCAAGATATTTGAAGAATGGAAAGGAGGTATATTGTTTTCAGTGGTTTGAGTGGTAACATCACCAGAAGCATCTGCTGCCAGGAACAGGAGGGCACAAGGTCACACATCTAGGAACCAAAAGCATTTCCAATGAAAGTAGGCCGAGTAATGACGAAATGAGAAGGGGAAAAGCTTTGGTTATACTCACGCTCACATAGGCAAGCAATTCTCAATCTATTCTTGCTTTTAGCATGGAAATCAGCATTAGCATTTTTTTAATTTAAACTCATTCAATCAAAATGATAGCTTGGCTGAACAGCCTTCAGACATTCAGATGAAACACTCTGATGAAACTATTATCTTTGCTTGTGATCAATATGAACGTTGAATGTATGTCTCCATTCTTAATCTCCTCGTGCACTTCAGAGGTGTCGTTTTTTGTTGTGAAAATAATCTCACCACAAGCATTTGATCTTCTCACATGATTGCTGGACGGCGTTCGTTCAGTTTTGCACAGGATTATAGATGTTGACATTTTTAATTTTAGTTTTCATATCTTTTCATTAAAATGTGGTTACTATCCCTCAGACTAAAGAAACAAAATTCAATATAGCTTCATTGGTATGAATGTAAAACAACAATATTGCCAAAGCTACAAATAAATTACAAAAGAACAATTCATTTTATACAGTACATTAAATAAAGTCAATAAAAAAGTAGAAGTGTGTGTTAAAAAGCACTATTTAAAAACAAAATATTAAAATTAAAGTAAATAAAAAAGTAAAAGTGTGTGTTTGTGTGTAGAAAAAAATTAAATAAATAAAACATGTCTAAAAATATGTTTCCTTAATGTATAGTTTCTAAAACAGTATAACCACATTCGATGTATTTAAAACTGCAGTTTCACTGCAAAACCCAAACTGATATTCAAAAGTCTTAATATTAGAAATAGGGCTGTAACTAACGATTATTTTTTATCATCAATTAATCTGCTGGTTATTTTCTCGATTTATTGTTTGGTCTATAAAATTAAAGGAAAAAAACACTGAAAAATGCTCATCACAATATTCTACAGCACAAAGTGACATCGTCTAATGTCTTGTTTCTCAAATTCTCACATTTAAGAATCAATATTTGGCATTTTTGCTCAAGTATTATGAAGTGATTAATCGATTTTAAAGTAGTTGCTGACTAATCGCTAATAGCTCTAATTAGGACAGCGACTTCAAGCAGAGCTGTTTTTACGTGACTAATCTGACAGAAATCTGATATTAAAATGAGAAGTAACACTATGCATCCAAAACTGTAACGTAATGGTGAGCAATGTGGATAAATTTGCATCACATTGTATGACTGTTACCTCACGATGTTGATACGGCTTCAATTAATAGCCGAGTCCTGAATAGCCGCC